ACTCCTGGCTCAAATGCCAAGTAGCTAATCTTGGGAATTGGTCTATAGTTTCCTTGGGAGTCCTGGTGTGGCTCTGTAGGATAAACATTAGACTGCAAGGTCGGTTTGAACTGCAAGGTTGGTGGTTCAAACTCACCAGCTGCTCCTTGAAAACCCTATACAGGGTGACCATGAATTGGAATCAACTCCACCGCACTTAACAATATTGTTTCCTTGAGTCTTGTCTTTCAGGTTTCAGTTTATTATTAGCTACATTTCTTCTTCCATACAGTCTCCTTTGTCCCCCCACCCCTATTCTCAGAAATTCCTCATTGCTAGGGTTGATTTGTTTTCTGCTGAGACAGGCCATACATACCTAGAGTGATTTAAGACCTCCTTCTTTCTCTGTTCTAGCTACCTAACACTATGAGTCAGAAACGACCAGGGACGGCACTAACAACAACGAAAGCATTGGGGAACTAACAAAGAATTCAAATAGTATCTGAACTTTTATGTCAAGACTCAAAATTAAGTTAAGGCTCACTGCAGACCACAATCTTCCACAACCAAGTGTCTTTGAATTTAAGCTCTAACGCAGGCCATTGGATTGTATATGCAAATATGGTTGAAATGGCAGGTGTTTTTTACTGTTTGCCTGGTTTTTGCCTATGTGCCCCAGCATGTGACCCCAGTTTCCTTGCCATGAGGCTTCATGCTGGGTTTGGCAGAATCTGAAGGGTAAGAGAGAGAGAGCTGAATGTATATTCCCTCCTCCCACCTGCACAACACCTGTGGCTTCATTGTACTATAGTTGTTGTTGTTAAGTGCCGTCGTATCTGTTCCGACCCAACGCGATTCCGAGGAGCTGTTGGTGAGCTTGATTGAACAGCCAACCTTGGAGTTCAAACCAACCTTGTAGTCCAGCGCATTAACCCGCAGCGCCACACCGCAGGGACAAGAAAGGCAAGGTCATGGAACACACTGTATTTTCACAAACGATCATTCAAAACAAATTTGTGGAATAAATCAAAAAGGGAAGACAACTCTCCCGGAGTACCAAAAAGAGCGCATCCGTGACCCCGCCCCCGACGGGAGGAGTCGGCACGGAGTATTTTGCGCGCCTTTATTCCTTGACTCTGACCGCGGCTCATGCGGATGACGTCACCTGCGCGCCACGTTTCGAGGACTGCAGGATCCTAGCGGTCGGGGTCAACGGTCAACGTGAGTGTGGGTCCCAGGCGTTCCCAGTTTAGCCTTTCGCCACTCACCCCAGTTGGCACTTACGTGGCTGCTTTAGAACAGGTGTCCATTCACGTGGGTTCGTGTTTATTCTCGTAGTCGTTCGGCAGGGACGGCCCTTGTAAAGTCATCCCCCCTCCTTCCTTTATTTATTCCGCTAACAAGTCTGTCGACTGCTTTACTTTATATAGGCTGTGCTAGGTGCGACCTAGACAAATCATGTAGCCTACTCTAGCTTACTTTTTACGGGGAGTGAGAGACGAAAATCAAGCAGTTTAATAAGTAGTATAGTGATTTAGCTGGTTAAAGCGCCTGTCTAGTAAACAGGAAATCCTGGGTTCGAATCCCAGCGGTGCCAGCGCTAACATAATGGAGTCCTGGTGTGGCGCTATGGGTTAATTCGCCAGACTGCAAAGCCGTTTGAACTGCACGGTCAGTGGTTCAAGCTTACCAGCTGCTCCTTGGAAACCCTATACAGGGTCAGAACCGACTTGATGGCACTTCACAACAACAACAGTGATTTCAGGATGTGATCATTTATTTGAAGGAATTGTGAAGGATAACCGTGGAGCACGTAGTGTAGGAGGGGTGATCAGCGTGAGTATGGAGAGCACTAAGAGAATGGGAGGAATCAAGACTGATTTGATTGGAGCATCAGTTACCAAAATGAAGGCTGGTCTGAATGTGAGGAGGGGTGGCAGTGGTGAGAATCAAGACTTGGGTCAGTCAAGTTTTTGTTTTTAGTCCAAAGTATTCTAAGAGGAGTCTCTGGGCTAAGCACTGGAGTAGTTGAAAGTCTGGCACATTTCTAAGCCACTCAGAGGTGCTTTAGGATAAAGGCCTGGTGATCTGCTTCTGAAAACCCTTTGGAGTGCAGTTCTGCTTTGCACACATCGGGTCACTATAAATCCAAATGGACTCAACTGCAACTGTTTTGTTTTTTTCCCCCCAAATAATTACTATTCTAAGCCTTGGGAACTTGGTGCTTAGAATTGAAACAGCTATAGCCCCTGCCTACAGGGAGATTTTGTTTTAGTTCTGAAACCAAACCTAAACCCGCTGCCATCAAGTCGATTCTAATTCCTGTGGAACCTGTAGGACAGAGTAGAACTGCTCTGTAGGGTTTCCGAGACTGTAAATCTTTACAGGAGCAGTTGGTGGGTTTGAACTACCAACCTTGTGGTTAGCAGCCCAAACACTGCATCACCAGAGCTCCTTTTCTAGTTAGGAAGGTAGATGAAAAAGAAAGAATAGTAGTGAAACATACTATGTGGAAAAGTAAAATAGGATCATCTTATAGTGGCTACTTCCAGAGCAAGTCTGTCCAAGAAGATGACTTTCACCTGAAAACTAAATAACAAAAGATTGTTGTTAAGTGCCGTGGAGTCAGTTCTGACCCATAGCGACCCTGCATAGGGTTTCCAAGGCTGTAAATCTTTACAGGAGCAGAAAGCATCATCTTTCTCCCACGGAACAGCTGGTAGTTTTGAACTACTGAGCTTGAGGTTCGCAGCCCGATTCATAACCACTACGCTACAAGAGGTAGGCATGAAAATATCAGAATGAAAAAAATGCATTCAAAGACAGAGCTGTAAAGTTAGAATAACAGAAAGGAACCACTTTGAGTAAGAAGGAGATTGGTGTGAGAAAGTTGGAGGGTAAGCAGTGGCCAGATCATGTAAGTCAGGGTACTGAGTTGGACTTTTGTACTATGTGATTGGAAGCAATGATCTCACTTATGCTGACCTGTGGCAAATAGATTGTGGTTGAGGGACTGACCATGAGGCCAATGAATTAGTTCAAGTGAATGGTGATGATAACTTGAACTAGAGTGATGACCATAGAGGTAAAGAGAAGTGGAACGACTTGTGGTATATTTGGAAGTAAGCACAATTTACTGTTGAATGTAGTGAATAGGGGGTAAGGAAAGAAGAATGAATGTTGAGTAATGTGTTTTTGGCTTGAATGGATTGAATGATAATGGTGTTTACTGAGATAGGGAAGACTGGGAAAACAGCAGGGTTAGAGAAATGATAAATAAAAATTTCCTCTTTTATAACTGGCTATATGTAGTGTTCATGAAATGTCCGTGGGGTGTCATGTAGCATTTGAATATACTAGTCTGGCATTTCAGGGAGAGTCGGGATTGAATAAAGACATGGAATACATTGGCAAATGGCTAGAACTGTATGAAATTGCTGGTTTGGGTCCCAAATGGTTGAATACTGTCAATTTCATTGGTTATGTCTCTTAGCTGATATTTATAACAGTGGGACTGGATGAAGTCACTTTGGAAAAGCATGTAGAGAGAAGAGAAAGAAGGAAGCCCAGGACAGAGTTCTAGGCATCTAACATAGAGGGTAGACCCAAGAGTCGGAGCTAGCACAAATGTCTAAATGTCTAAGGAGGAGCAGCCAGTAGGTAAGAGGAATATCAGGGGGAGTGTTCTGTCATTGAAGCCCAGAGAGAAAGGAGTTTCAAGAAGTAGGGAATTCATAGGTCAAGTGCTGCTGAGAGGTCAAGTAAGGAAAGAACGGGTGAGTGACCTCTGGATTAACAACATAGCAATCCTTGGTGACCTTAACAGGGATATTGTTAAGTGCTGAGTCGGCTCTCTGATGCATAGGGTTTCCAAGGAGCGGCTGGTGAATTTGAACTGCTGCCCTGAGGTTCAAACAGACCTTGCGGTCCAGTGCTTTATCCTACAGTGCCAACCAGGATATCTTGACAGGAGTAGTCAGAAAATTAATTCAGATACTTATAAGTCAGCCAAGTACAGAGAGACTATGAACATCTTTATCTCTTACTTTGTTGGAAAGAGGTAGAACACATCTGTGAGTCTCGTGTATGTGGTGAGGGCTGACTAATGCTGAACAAGGATGTGGTGAGTGCTGGGACCATGAGGAGAGCACCCCAGAGTAGGGGAAGCCTGCACTCATCTTGGAGGATGGGAAGCTTTAAATTGGGTGGCCTAGGCTATGGGTCGGACCCGACTCGATGGCACTCAACAACAACAACAACAAGGCATTCCAAGAGGGGAGCAAAAGGACAGGCAGAAGGCCAGGCAGGGCTTGGTGAATAAAGCCAGGGTCCCACCAAGAAACTATGGGGTTAGAAGTTGAAAATAATTAGGGATAGATACAGAGGGTCTTTGAAAGTTAGTTAAGAGGGTTTGGATGTACCTTTAAGTTGAAGAAATGTTGGGAAAACATTGATGTAGATGAAGCATCATTTGACCTCAGTCAGGCCCAATCCAGTTCATCCTCATTCCTAAAATGCTAAGACCCACAGTCCCTTGGCCTTAGCCACAGTGGAATGGATACTTTCACATCTCTCTCCTAAAATGTAAGCTGCATAAAGACAAAATGGTTCCTTTTTTCTTAGGCCTTGCCTGGGGCCCAACCAACATTAGGGAACATTTGTTGAGGATGTACCTGGACACATTATTAAAACCTACATTTTGTGGGTTAGTTAAAACTCCAAGGTTGCTTCTTTTTTTTTTTTTACAGGTTAGGTTATCCTTGTTTCTCTGAATACCCCTACTAACTCCCATCCCTACTGTAGCCACAGTGCCCCTGAGTCTTGAAATTGATTCAACAAATAGGCTATACTTAGTGTTATTTCTTTTTAAACTTTTTATTGTGAATTGAGTGAATTAGTCCCACATTCAACACATCACCCACTTCATGTCATTACAGTGGTTACAGTCCACTCCATGGATATTACTTAAACTCTATTCAGTTAGTGCTTTTCTTTTTTTTTTTTTTAGGAACCCAACTCATCTCTCCAGCAAAGGGTACTTGAAGATGTCCCCAGTCCTTCACTTCTATGTCCGTCCCTCGGGCCATGAGGGTGCTTCCTCTGGACGCATTCAAAGGAAGCTGCAAGAACAGCTGCCAGAACTGCAAGGAGTCAAAATGGAGCTTTGCTACAACGTGGACTGGACAGGTTGGTCCCGGGGGTTAAATTCTTGGAGGGCTACCCTGGTGCTAGGGGCAGTCTCAAGACTGTCCTCACCCTGGCTCCCTGTAGCTGAATCCCTCCCAAGCACTGAGGAGATGAAGAAGTTGAAATGGCTGTTTGGCTGCCCTTTGTTGCTGGATGATGTTGCTCATGAGTCCTGGTTCTTACCCTGCCCCAATGACCTGGTGCTGGAGGTCGGGCCCAGGTAAGTGTCTCAGTTATAAGTCCATTCCTCTGCTTCTACCCTCGTGATTTCTGGAGAGATGTTTTTTGGTTTGTTTTTTTCCCCCTTTCGCTCCATTCTACCTCCCTGCCTAGGAAACCATACACATGCTTTCCACACTTGGTTGGGAAGATTCTTTTGAAGGCTGAGTTAGGGATGTTTTCTGGGAGTGAAAACAAGTTGCATTCTGAAAAGCTGTAATTCCAGCGGTTTTGATGCTGGTCATACAGTCATGGTTTGATTTGAGTGACCCATGGAAACTGGTTTCTTGGTGTGCAAGCTAGAGACTGCAGGCTAGGAGTGGGGTGGTAGGGAGGAGGCTGACTGGATAGCAGGAAGTGGGATCTACCTTCCCAGCTGGCTCCAGATGGCCTGTTTGGGATGCTCTGGTTTTAGTCATCCAACCCACTTCTCAGGCTGAACTTCTCCACCCCAACATCTACCAACATTGTGTCGGTATGCCTGGCCGCTGGACTGGGGACAGTTAACCGTGTGGAGACCACTCGTCGCTACTGGCTCTCGGTGAGACAGTAAGGGAACAGGGGGTGTAGGTGGTCCTGAGATAAGAGACTAGGTCTTTAAACTAACAAGAGAGACGGAGGGAAGAATTCCTGCTTTGAGACTGCCCTGTATGCTTATGCAGGGCATTAATTATCTGGGGATGCTTGGCTACAGTGGTTCATGGGGGCAAAATTCTAGCCTGAGTGTTCCCTATGAACCTGTGTGTCCTTCCTGACATGGACTCTGCCTAGAGAGGGGGAGTCTTTCTAATCTGCACACAGGTGCCCATGGACGAGCAGTGGCTTAGTCCTGCAGGACTTGAGGGGCTGAAGGAAGACCATTTCTCTTCACATCTTCAACCCTTTTCCCTTTGTGTGTGTGTGTCTCTGCCTCAGTTTGCCCACTCACCTCCGCCTGTAGTGAAGACTGTTGCCCTGGGCATCCTGCATGATCGGATGACGGAGCAGTACTTCCCTCAACCCATCCAAAGTTTCTCCCCTGACTGTTCCCCGGCACCCCTCAATGGCCCCATCGATATACTGGGCGAGGGCCGGCCTGCCCTAGAGAAGGCCAATCAGAAGCTAGGTAAGCCAGGGTCTCTGCTAGGAGGAGGGCTAACAAGATAGGTAAGCAGGTGTGCTAAACCCTGAGAGATGGAGACCTAAGTGCCACAGCTGTTCTGGGGTTTGTTCCCTAGGTTTGGCCCTAGACTCCTGGGACCTGGATTTCTACACCAAGCGCTTCCAGGAGCTGCAGCGGAACCCCAGCACTGTGGAGGCCTTTGACTTGGCTCAGTCCAACAGGTGGGAAGGAATGGGGGTATTTGGATGTCTGAGGCTGTGGGGGTTGGGAGGGGAAAACCACAGGGCTCATCTTCATGGCTCTCCCTGGGCTCAGAGGCCTCTCTGGATCTGTTTGAGGACTTGGACCACCCCATCCATCTAGTAGTCTGGGTTTTATCTCCACTTTGGATCTGAATAATCCACAGTAACAGAATGCTTGACAATTATGGTTCTATGGAATTACGGTTTTTTGGCCTATTATCTAAGTATGAGTTGGCTATAGCTTGGCTGTTAAATATTGTTGTTGGGTTCCATCAAATTGATTTTAACTCATAGTGGGCCCTACAGCAGTGTTGATTTTCCCCCAGAGGGTTTTCTAAACTGTAATCTTTACAGGAGGTACCCTGGTGATACTGTAGGTTAAGTACTGCTGACAGTAAGGTCAGAAGATCAAACATAACAGCAGGAGTTCTGCTCTGTGGAAGAAAGATGAGGCTGTCTGCTCCCCTGAACTCTTGGAAACCTAAAGGAACTTTTCTCCTCTACCCTATAGGGTTGCCCTGAGTCAGAAAAGACTGATTAGCAGTGGGTTCTTGGCTAATCTGTACAGGAATAGATCCTCTAGTCTTTCTCCTATGGAGATGCGTGGATTCAAACTGTCAGCCAACCCTCTGGTTGGCAATTGGGTGCTTAACTGTATGCCACCAGGGTACCTTTGTTAAATATCATTATGGTAATTCTGATTGAAATTCTCTGTGGGAGCAAAAAGCTTCATCTTTCTCCCACAGAACTGCTGGGTGTGCTCAAACTGCCAACCTTGTGGTTTGCGGTCCAGTGTTTATCATATGGAGCCACCATGCTCTCCTTGTTAAATATTTGTTCTTATTAAGTGGTGTTGAGTCAGTTCCAACTCATATTGATTCTATATAGGATTTCTTAGGAGCGGCTACTGGGTTTGAACTTTTGTGGTTAACAGTCCAGTGCTTATCCTACAGCGCCACACCAGGACTTCTGATAAATATTATTAGGTTTTAAATACTGTGTGACAACATGGCAAAGTCTGAGAAGTGGCCCGTGCTTCCCCATCTCCTCTCTCCATGTCTTCCTTGCAGCGAGCACAGCCGGCACTGGTTCTTCAAGGGTCGGCTCCACGTGGATGGGCAGGAGCTGGCTCACTCACTGTTTGAGTCCATCATGAGCACCCAGGCATCTTCCAACCCCAACAACGTCCTCAAGTTCTGTGACAACAGCAGGTGGGCTTTGCGCCAGGTTGAGGGGGCACAGGTCTACGAGAGGGGAGGCCTCCAGTGCTGGTTGGGTTGGTGGCAGATCCCAGGAAGGAAGGAGGGTCCAGAACAGCTATGTCTGCAGTGCAATTCGGGGAAAGGAAGTCAGATTTCTGCGGCCTGAGGACCCTACACAGCCAAGCTGCTTCCAGGAACAGCAGGGCCTGAGACATGTTGTCTTCACAGCAGAGACCCACAACTTTCCCACAGGTGACCTGGGTCCCCAGGAGAGGTGGGAGATATCAAAGATTAGGGTAGGGCAAAGGTTGGGGTGGGGAGGCTGATTGTCCTGGTTTTCAGTGGGAGTGGTCAGAGGTGGGGTCTGTCTCTCTGCTACTCACATCTCTCCCCTTCTCTCTTCACAGGAGTAGCCCCCTTCAGTGGTGCTACCACGGGTACTGGGGGCCGGATCCGAGATATCCAGTGCACAGGCCGAGGGGCCCATGTTGTGGCTGGTACTGCTGGCTATTGCTTTGGAAACCTGAACATTCCAGGTCTCTTCTTTTTGCCCACCTCCCTTTCCAGAGTCCTTGTCTTGGTAGACGTTGACATTTGGATCTTTGAGATCAAAGGGTCATCCTGAATGTCTTTTCTTGGGAACAAGGGCCCTATAGTAGTAGGTCTTTCATGTACCATGATCACAAGGCATATAGTTCAGAGGAGGCCAGGTTGACAGCCAAGCAGAGCAGAACCAGTTTTCTTTAGAAAGAAGCATCCTGACTCACTAAGAATGCCTGATTCTCAGTTGCTGTTCTAACTATCACCTGCTCCCCTAAGTCAACTTTCTTAGCAAGCCTTACAGACTCAGCCTCTTACAAGGAAGGCCAGTGTGGGAGGTGGGGAGCAAGACCGTGCTTCATTGCAATCTCTATGCCTCTCTAAAATGGAACTTCCCACAATGCGAGTCCCAGCTGTGTGGGTGGTCCGTGGTAGAATGGACTCTTCCCAAAGACTTATGCCTCCATCTTCCTTTTTTCCAGTCCATCTCAACTTTCTCCTTCCCTCCTAGGTTACAGTCTGCCCTGGGAGGATTCGAGCTTCCTGTATCCTGGGAATTTTGCTCGGCCCCTGGAAGTTGCCATTGAAGCCAGTAATGGAGCTTCTGACTACGGCAACAAGTTTGGGGAACCAGTACTGGCAGGTGAGGTTGGGGACTGGAGGGGCAATGGACACCTTGTCCTTGAAGGCAGCTGGTAGGGTGTGATGTGAGACCCAGGGGGCCGTGTTAGTGGGGGACATTGGGTAACTGGACACTGTCCCTGTCTTCTGTCCACTCTCCAGGCTTCGCTCGTTCCTTGGGCCTCCAGCTTCCAGGTGGCCAGCGGCGTGAGTGGATCAAGCCCATCATGTTTAGCGGAGGCATTGGGTTCATGGAAGCTGAGCACGTGAGCAAGGAGGCCCCGGAGCCAGGTAAGCACCTACCTGCCACCTGCCTTCCATGCAGCCAGCTTTCTCCCCAGCACTTTGGTGAATTGCCCATTAGGGTTTCCATGGCTATAATCTTTAACCACTGCATCACCAGGCCTCCTAAATGAAGTCTAGGTCTCATTTAATGAATAGGTAACCCAGCTACTCAGTTGAACATTCAGGAGACAAAAATGATTATACAGGAAGGCTACCAAAAATTTGTGGAAAAATTCCATTATATTTCCACAAACTTTTTGAAGAATTTCATAAAGTAAAAATTCCTCTGTCTCCTAGCCACCAATTCCTCTCCCTAATGACAAACAGTGTTATAGTTACTTTTATATCCTACCAGGGATATTTCCTGCGTAAACAAACAAAATGCTATGTTTATGTGTACACTTTAAAAAAATAACCTCTTTATTGAGTTTAATTCATTTGCCATAAAGTGCCTTTAAAAGTATATAATCGTGTGTTTAAAATTTATTTTCACCAAGTTGTACATCAGTCACCATTAATTCTTGAGCATTTTTATCATCCCAAAACGAAACCTTGTATCAGTAATCACTCCGGTTCTCCCTCCCCTATTGTTGTTATTGTTGTTGTTGTTGTTGTTGTTGTTGAGTGCCATACTGACTCATAACAGCACTGTATAAGGTTTCCTAGGAATGGCTGGTGGGTTTGAACTGCCAACCTTGCAGTCCAGTGTTTATCCTACAGCACCACATCAGGACACTGGCCCCTGGGAACCAATAATCTGTTTGCTTTTTCTTTGATTTATACATTCCGGAAATTTCTTACAATTGGAGTCGTACAGTATGGTCTTTCGTGACTGACTTCCTTTCACTTGGTGTAGTATTTTTACGTTTCATCCATGTTGTGCTTTGTAACAGTACTTCATTCCTTTTTATAGCTGAAAAGTGTTCCTTTATAAAGATCTATCTCAGTTTGTTTATTCATTTCATTTATTATTTGATGGACATTTGAGTTGTTTATACTTTTTGACTATTACGAATACTGCTATTATGAATTCATGTACAAATATTTGTACCATTTGTATTCAGTTTTCTTAGCTATGTACCCAGGAGTGGAATTGCTGGGTCATAAAGCAACTACGCTCAATTTTTTCTAAGGAACTGCCCAGCTGTTTTGTAAAATGCACAGCAGCTGCATCATTTTATGTGTCTTGTCTTTTTTATTATGGCCATCTGTTTTTTGTTTTTGATTCAGCAACTCTGTAAAGAGTTTTTGAGGCATCACAAGTAGGTTTGAACCGCTAACCTTGAAGTTAGCAGTCTAGTGCTTATCCTACAGTCAGATGTCCCTGATGATTAATGATGTTGAGCATCTTTTCATGTGCTTATTAGCCATTTCTCTATCTTTGAAGAAATGCTTATTTAGATCTGTTGCCCACCTTTAATTGGATTGTCTTATTATTGTTACGTTGTGGAAGTTTTTACGTATCCTGGATACAAGTTCATTATGAGAAAGATGATTTGCAAATAGTTTCTCCCATTTTGAAGATTGTCTTTTAATTTTTGATAGTGTCCTCTGAAGCACAAGTTTTCAATTTTGATCAAGTCCAATTTATTGCTCTTTTCTTTGGTTGTTTGTAGTGTCATTGTCTAATCCAGAGTTACAAAGATTTATTGGTATGTTTTTTTCAAATAATTTCATAGTTTTAGCTCTTAAATTTAGGTTTCAGGTATATTTTGAGTTTTTACATATGGTGTGAAGTAGGGCCCCATCTTCATTTGCTATGAATATTCAGTTGTCCCATCACCATTTGTTGAAAAGACTTTTCTCCCCCCACTGAATGGTCCTGGCACTCTTGTTGAAAATCACTTGGTCATAAATGCCTGGGTTTATATTCTGGATTCTCAGTTTTTTCCATTGGTCTGTGTCTTCCTATGCCAATATCAAACTACCTTGACTACAGTAAATTTTGTTTGTTCGTTGTTTTTTGCCATTGCAACTTTTTTTTTGACAACTTCTGTTTTTGTTTTGACGATTCTGGGCTGCTTTCATTTCCATGGAATTTTTAGGGTCAGCTTGTCACTTTCTGCAGAAGGCAGCTGGGATTTTGATATGGAATGTATTGAATCTATAGATGAATTAGGGTCTGTTGCCATCTTAATGCTATTTAGTCTTTCAACCTGTGACATGGGCTGCCATTCCATTTGTTTGGGTCTACTTAGATGTTCTTTAGTTTTCAGTGTATAATCTTAAATTTCTATTGTTAAACTCACTTTTAAAAAAATCTTTTATAAGTAGATAATAGAGTCCTGTGTGGCACTGTAGTATAAGCATTCTACTGCTGATTGCAAGATTGGCAGTTCAAATCCACCAGCTATTCCTTAGAAACACTACACAGGATTGCTAGGAGTTGGAACTGACTCAACAATATTTAACAACAAAAATACTTATATATATATATATACATATATGCTTTTTTTACTCAGCAATACTTATGTCTTGGAGATCATTTCATATTGTTAGGTAATACTTTTTTGGTGGCTTAGTGTTCCTGGTGTAGTATTGTAGCATCAGCACTAGACTTTGAACCACAAGGTAGGAAGTTCAAACCCATCAGCTGCTCCTTGGAAACCCTATACATGGTTGCTATGAGTCGGAACTGACTCGATGGCACTTAACAACAACAGTAGTGTTCCGTTGAGTCCTGGTGTGGTATGACAGGGAATACACTGGTCTGCTAACCACAAGGTCAGTGGTTCAAACCCAACAGCCACTCCTTGGGAACCCTATACAGGGTTGCTATGAGTTGGAAGTGACTCAACGACACTTAAAAGTATTCCTTTGTATGGATGTACCATAATTTATTTAATTAGTTTTCTTTTGCTAGCGTTGAGACTATTTCTTGTCTTTTGCTAACAAAAGCAATGCTGCAATGTTTAATAAATCTTTTGCATAATGTGATTTTTTTTTTCACCTGTGTGGATAAATCTCTCATTGAAATATATGGGAGGCCTTCAAAAAGTTCATGAAAAAATGAAATTGAAAGATAATGGAATCTTTCATGAGCTTTTTAAAGCCTCTTTGTCTATATACTCAGTCATATGTTTATTTGTAATTGTGGTTGATATAATTTAACCATCCTCCATAGAAATTTGACCATTTTACTCTCCCATCAGCCCAGTGGGAGTGTTGGAGACCCTGCTCACTGAGGAGCAGCTTTCCTTCATCCTCCCACTTCTTAGCCTCTGAGGCCCCTGCTCGTGGCCCCCTGCATTCCAACTCTGCTCTCCTTCCTTCCTCACAGGCATGAAGGTTGTGAAGGTTGGGGGTCCTGTGTACAGGATTGGAGTTGGGGGAGGAGCAGCTTCATCTGTGCAGGTAAGTGGGAATACCTGAAAACATAGACTATGTAGATATATAATGTACCTGAGGCCCTGAGTGGGGTATCGGAGCTTCCAGCCTCTCCCAGACCTGAGTTCTGCTTTATGTCTCCCCAGGTGCAGGGCGACAACACCAGTGACCTGGACTTCGGTGCTGTGCAGCGAGGAGACCCAGAGATGGAACAGAAGATGAACCGTGTGATCCGGGCTTGTGTGGAGGCTCCCAGGGGGAACCCAATCTGCAGTCTTCATGACCAGGGTGCCGGTGGCAATGGTGAGGGAAGGGGCTGGAACAGGGAACCAGGACCTATCTGGTCTCCTGCCAGGTTTAGTTTAGGACATGGCATTGGGGATCTACAATCATCCTCACAGCTTTGAGCCCTTTTCTCCAGTCCTTATGCATTCTGAGCCTCAGTGGCCTAGTGATGAGGTGGCATGGTAGGGTCTCCTTTAGAGTCTGGGAGCTGCCCTTTGTGGGCCTTGTTCTAAATGTGGCCAGATGACCACCTCACCATGCAGTCTTCTCTCTAGGCAACGTCCTGAAGGAACTCAGTGACCCAGCTGGAGCTGTCATTTACACCAGCCGCTTCCAGGTATGTCTCATCCCCTGAAGTCTGGTACTTCCCCATTTGGCTGGCTCCAGTGGGTTCCATCCATCAACTCCCCGTTCCCAGAAATTTCTGAGACTGGGGTGCACCTTGTGATCCTGGTTTTTTTTTGTGTGTGTGTTTTTTTCTCCACCCCGTGCATTTACAGCTCGGGGACCCGACCTTGAATGCCCTAGAAATCTGGGGGGCTGAGTACCAGGAGTCCAATGCACTGCTTCTGAGGCCCCCCCACCGGGACTTTCTGAATCGGGTCAGTGCCCGGGAACGCTGCCCGGCCTGCTTCGTGGGCACCATCACCGGAGACCAGAGAGTGAGTTGACTCAGGGTCCAGTAGTAAGTTGAGCTCCTTGGGCACAGGCCCAAGGGAGAATTGTCAAAGTAAAAAGTCAAGAGGATAAGGATGGGAGATGGCAGATGTGTTGTGGAGGATGGGATGTAGAAAGTGGGGAGCAGTAGGGCCTCAATTTGCTGTTCTTAATGTGCCATCAAGTTGGTTCCAACCCAGAACGACCCTGTATACGGTTGACTGGTGGGTTTGAACTGCCGGCCTTGTGGTCTATTGCATTATCCTGCAGTGCCACACCAGGACTCCAGGACCTCAATTGTTGTTGTTGTTGTTGTTAAGTGCCATCGAGTACCTCAATAGGGGAAGCTAAAAGAGGGGTGGAAAGAGCATTTCTGTCCTGATTCCTAGTGGTGTTCACTGCTGGTGTCCTGTGTCTCTTTCCTTCTGGGTGGTGTCCCCGTGGACCTAGATAGTGCTGGTGGATGATCGGGAGTTTCCTGTGGGAATAAATGGCCAGGGAGATGCCTTCCCCTCATTGCCTTCCCCAACCCCTGTGGACCTGGAGCTGGAGTGGGTACTAGGCAAGATGCCTCGGAAGGTAAGAGAGGGTACTTGTCCCTTCTGTGACCCAGCCCTAAAGACTTTTCCCTCCTCATGCCTTACCCCTGTCCTGTACCCTCCTCCCAGGTGCTCACCCTCCCTTGTCCCTATTTCTGTGTTGCAGGAGTTCTTCCTCCAGAGGCAACTTCCTGTGCTGCAGCCGCTGGCCTTGCCCCCAGGGCTGAGTGTGCGCCTGGCACTAGATCGGGTGTTGAGGCTGCCAGCTGTGGCCAGCAAGCGCTACCTCACCAATAAGGTCCTTCCTGCACCCCTGCTCTGCTCTCAGTTCTCTGCCTCCCTCCACCCATCCCACCCTTGGGAACCACCCTGAGGGAAAAGTGGCAGGGCCGAGCAGCCACCCTGACTGCCTGCTGTCCACCCTCTGAGTGTAGCTCTTCTCTCCATGTTCTCCATGTTGGGAGAGCCAGGCCTCCCAGCACTCCCAAGGGCAGGGTGGAGTAGAGGGCCATGTGCTTACCCCCGTCCCTTGCCTTCTCATCAACCCCCACCCCCCATTTGATCTTGTAGGTGGATCGCTCTGTGAGCGGCCTAGTGGCCCAGCAACAGTGTGTCGGGCCACTGCAGACTCCTCTGGCAGACGTAGCAGTTGTGGCTCTGAGTCACCAGGAGCTTGTGGGGGCTGCCACGGCCCTGGGGGAGCAGCCAGTCAAGAGCCTGCTAGACCCTAAGGTTGCTGCCCGGCTGGCTGTGGCGGAGGCCCTCACCAACTTGGTGTTTGCTTCAATCACTGACCTCCGGGTGAGTACCTCAGATGCTCACCTGGAACCCTGGCCACTTCCATGTCCACTTCCTACTTGCCTTCCCACCCTTGATGTTCAGGACCACTTAGTCCCTCGACTGTCCCTGACTCTACATGTAACTTCTCTCACCCTTGTCTCTGCCGCCTCTCAGGACGTGAAGTGCAGTGGGAATTGGATGTGGGCAGCCAAGCTCCCAGGAGAGGGAGCCGCTCTGGCCGATGCCTGTGAGGCTATGGTGACAGTGATGGCAGCCCTGGGCGTGGCAGTAGACGGCGGCAAGGACTCCCTCAGCATGGCTGCCCGGGTGGGCACTGAGACTGTAAAGGCTCCCGGTGAGGCCCGGGGGCACAGGCAGTGGGTGAAGGACTGTGGGACTGGGCTGGCATCCACTTCATTCTACTCCTTCTGGCTCCCCCAGGGGCACTGGTCATCTCAGCCTATGCTGTGTGTCCGGACATCACAGCCACTTTGACCCCAGACCTGAAGCAGCCTGGAGGAAGAGGTATGGTTCTTTTTCCTCCTCACTTCTTTGTGTATTCAGAGTGTGGTTCCTTATTTGGGGTATGTGCTTTCTGGCACTGGGGGTGGAAGGGATCTCACTGTAGGCTGGGAGCTATAATCCTTGTGAGTCTCCTGAGTTGTCCATTTCCCTCACCTGTTCCTGCCCTGTTTCCCCAGGTCGTCTGCTGTACGTGCCTCTGAGCCCTGGGCAGCACCGGCTGGGGGCCACAGCTCTGGCCCAGTGCTTCTCCCAGCTTGGGGAACAGCCTCCTGACCTGGACATTCCTGAGAACTTGGTGCGTGCCTTTAGTGTCACCCAGAGACTGCTGAAAGGTGAGTGAAGCCCTGGGGGCGATAGTGCCAGACATATATGTGGCTGAGCACGTGGGCAGAGAGAGCTGAGGCCCTTCCCTCTGCTTCTCTGTGTCCACATCCTCACCCACTATGCCTGACGCTCCAGAGGTAGAGTTAGGCCTTGAAGTGGCTGAACTTTTTCTCTTCTCTCCAGATCGCCGTCTCTGCTCAGGCCATGATGTCAGTGATGGAGGTCTCATCACCTGCCTACTTGAGATGGCCTTTGCTGGGAATTGTGGCATAGAGGTCGACGTGCCTGCCCCTGGGGTCGACGGTGAGGACTCGTGGTCTAGGTTCAGCTTGGGTGTCCATCCCCATCCCGGCATCTCCAGGAGTAGCCTGCCATGCAGATCCATTTTCTGTTGAAGAGTAACATATCTTTCAGCCTCGTTTTCCCTGAGTTCCGTGCTGCCCTCCCTGTCCCTGAACCCAGTGGCACTGCCAGACTTCTGACTGCCCGCCTCTGACACCTCTCACAGCACCTGGGGCAATATGCTTGATTCTATTTCCCAGGCCTCACTCTACCCCTGACCCTTGGCCTGCCATCCCTCCCGACCCTTCTGAGTTCCTGGCAGCCCTTGAGTCACCCAGCCTCCCCACTTTGCTCTCCTAGCACTGCCTGTGCTGTTTGCTGAAGAGCCCGGCCTGGTGCTGGAGGTGCACCAGCCAGACATGGCCCATGTGCTGAAGTGTTACCGGGATGCTGGCCTGCAGTGCCTGGAGCTGGGCCACACGGGTGATGCTGGGCCCCATGCCATGGTGAGGAAGTGGGGGTAAGAAGACAGTAGAGAGTGGGGCTGGGGAGGTGGTAGGCAGTTAAACTCCAGCAGTCTGGTGGTGGGGACAGCGTTGCGTTGGACACCCTTTCTCCAAGCCCTGAATGAGTTTGCCCCTCTCCTAGGTATGGGTGTCAGTGAATGGGGCTGTGGTTTTGGAGGAGCCTGTTGGGCAGCTTCGAGCTCTCTGGGAGGAGACGAGTTTCCAGCTGGACCGCTTGCAGGCAGAACCGAGCTGTGTGGCAGAGGAGGAGAAGGGGCTGAGGGAGCGAACAGGGCCCAGCTACTGCCTGCCCCCCACCTTTCCCACAACTTCTGTGTCCCGGGAACCTGGTGAGGGAGCATGTGGCTTTCTGGGAACATTGGGTCTGGAAGTTGGAGCTTTCCCTAGAAAAGGTGCATGGGGGTTGGGGTGGGAAAGTAGCACATGCCTTCTCCCCTAGGTGGCCCTGCCCCTCGAGTTGCCGTCTTGCGAGAGGAGGGCAGTAATGGAGACCGGGAGATGGCTGATGCCTTCCATTTGGCCGGGTTTGAGGTGAGCAGATTAGCTGAGCAGAGCTGGGGCCAACTTTCTAGCCTTAAGCTGTGTCTCCTCTCATATTCTTCTCCCCATCCTACCAGGTGTGGGATGTGACCATGCAGGATCTTTGCTCTGGGGCCATCGGGCTGGACACTTTCCGAGGTGTGGCCTTCGTGGGTGGCTTCAGCTATGCAGATGTGCTGGGCTCTGCCAAAGGTCAGCTTTAGATTTTTCTCCTACTCCCTCCCTGCTTCCTGACTGGGAATTGGCCTCCCTCCTCCATGGACCTTGGAGAGAGTGGGAGCCTTTGCTCTGGGTCACATGCCAGCAGAGGGCCAGGTGGTGCTAGTGGTGGTGCTTATGTGCTGTGGAGTCGGTTCCCACTCATAGCGAACCTTTATAGGGTTTCCGAGGTTATAAATCTTTATGGGAGTAGAAAGTCTCATCTTTCTCCTGTGGAGCAGCTGGTGCATTTGAACTGCTGACCTTGTGGTTACTACCCTTTTATTTCTTTTGGTTTTGTTGACATCACCCATATCATTTCTTACGCGTGTTATTTGCATCTTCTCCCTCTTTGTTAGATTTGCCAGTGGTTTGTCAATTTTATTAATCCTTTCAAAGAACCAACTTCTTGTCTTGCTGATTCTTTCTATTGTTTTTCTGTTTTCTATACATTTCTGTCCTAATCTGGTGGATGTGATCAGGAGATGAGCTTGTGCACCATTCTCTGATGACTGTAGTTCAGGGTGGACTTAGCTGACGGTAGTTGTCTGATCTGATGTATAGCAGCTGTTACTAACTCTAGCCCCATTGGTGGGGTTGTAGAGAGTGAGTGACTAGGCTGTATGGCCGCAGTTGCTATCGCCTGTTTGATGAGGCAAGAAGAGAAACCACTCACGAGAGAGAAAGAAAGCAAAGCAGCAAACAACAGTGAAAAAATAAAATAGTAAATTATGAAAGAAAAAAAGAAAAACAAGGCAATGCGTTTCCCTCCACCAGTAAGTGGTATGCCTCTGCGCCACCTACTGGCCTCTTGCCTAAGAAAGTTGGCCCTCACAGAAAACCAGGCTTCCTTCTTTTTTCTCAACCCCACACAGCTCTCCTAGTCTCACTAGGATTGGCCTGGCCCAATTTTGCAGAGTTAGAGCAGGGCCAGCCTGAGTGGGATTACTGCGGATAACTCCGCCCCACTTCAGTGGGGTTCACAACCTCGGCATTCACCTCTGACCACTTGGAAAGCAGGAGCCTCCCTAGGGGGTGTACGCTGGCGAAGGTTGGCCTCACCTCTGGTTACCTTGGGAGTGTGGGAAATAAACAATCTCATTGTGCCTCTGTGAGGTCGGTTTCTGCAATGCGAATGTTTTCTTGTCTCTGAAGCCACTCGCAAATGTTCACACAGATAGCTACGGTAGGTCCGGCCACAGCTCAGCTGACACCTCCTCTCTTGATGCATCTGCTCAGCTCTCTCTCTCCCAATAAGCACTCAGTCTAATTCTTTGTCCTTTCATCTGAAGCTCAGAGTTCTGGGACTGTCCTCTGCATGTGTCTCATCTGATTTTCCATATCCTTGCTGCCGAGGGGCTGCACAGTCTTTCTGCCCAACCTGCCACCTTGCCCTGCCTCTGCAACTAAAGATTTTTAAAAACCAGAAGCTTATTGTGGGCCATCTCTGATCCAAGAGTAGGCAACATCTGATTTAAGCAAATAAACCTGATGTTCCCCTTTGCCCTTGCCCTGAGCTGTGGAGAGTAGTTCTGGGAGAATATAGCAGTGACATGGGGAAGGGAAGGCAGGCATCTGCCTCTGTTCTCAGCTACCTTCTCTAGGACCCTTTTTGGTTTCACCCCAGCTTCTCTCTTCCCTCCAGGGTGGGCAGCTGCCGTGACCTTTCATCCAAAGGCTGGACCTGAGCTACGGCGCTTCCGTAAGCGGCCAGATACCTTCAGCCTGGGTGTGTGCAACGGCTGTCAGCTTCTGGCTTTGCTGGGCTGGGTGGGGAGCGACCCCAGCGAAAAGGTCAAGGAGATGGAGTATGACAGCAGGCCAGCCCAGCCAGGCCTCCTGCTGCGTCACAACCTGTCTGGGCGTTACGAGTCTCGCTGGGCCAGTGTGCGTGTGGGGCCTGGACCAGCCCTAATGCTACGAGGAATGGAGGGTGCTGTGCTGCCTGTGTGGAGCGCCCATGGGGAAGGTCAGGCTCCCACATAGGATGGGGTAGGGTCTCGGGGAGGATGGGCAGAGGATGTGAAGGAGCTTTGCTCTCACTTCTCTATTCTTCTCTTCTGTTTCCAGGCTACATGGCATTTTCTTCTCCAGAACTCCAAGCCCAGATCGAGGCCAGGGGCTTAGCTCCATTGCATTGGGCAGATGATAGTGGGAACCCCACAGAGCAATACCCCCTGAATCCAAACGGCTCCCCAGGGGGTGTGGCTGGTGTCTGTTCCCCTGATGGTCGCCACCTGGCACTCATGCCTCATCCTGAGCGAGCTGTGAGGCCTTGGCAATGGGCATGGCGGCCCCCTCCGTTTGATACACTGACCACTTCTCCCTGGCTCCAGCTCTTCATCAATGCCCGAAACTGGACCCAGGAAGGAGCCTGCTAAGCAGGCCAGGGAGGAGGCTCACCCGGAACTCAAGTTGTCTGTAGGATATCTGCTGCTCTTTCCTTCCATCACCTGCAGGAGCGCCCTAAATATTTCCAGATCTATCTTGGATAGACAAGGACTAAAATGCCGTAGGTCACAGATATAATATGCCCATTTTTATATATTTTTATATGCGTTATTCTTAATATGTTTTGTCCTTCACTGGGACCAAAAAGCAGCAGGTTTTTGTTCAGAGTGGAAGTTAGGCTGTATGGGGAGAAGGGTCCCATTCCATTGGGCCCACTTCATGCTGAATGCCCTCTTCACTGGAATTTATGGGATGGGCAAGTCCAGGACCTCAGTGTTTTCATCTGAAAAATGGCCGTTTCCTGGGTTTCTTTTTTAAGTGCTTGGCCCAGCCCCTGAACTCAACATTTCTAACCTTTACTTCTGGTTTAGTAGCTCCCTTTCTGTCATGGTGGTGAGTACCCTCATCCCTTGAACTGAGCCTTAGTTTATGTGAATACTACCTCTTCATGCACCAGACACTGTCAATGCCCCTAGTGAGTTTATGGCTTAAGGGAATTTAAGATATTAGCCACACGTGTTAGGTATTTTGCGTGTATCTAACATTTATCAAATTCAGCAAGACAGATGTAACTCTTTTTGCAAAGGGAGAAATTAGGTTAAATAAATTGCCCAGAGTCACACAGTTTATAAAAGCCAGGATTTCATTGGGCCAACTCCTAAGATTACTGCTTATCCATGCTATATCTCCCTTCCAACCTCCTGCTGCCCCTAGAAGTCCTAGAAGTCAATTCCTCTCAGTGTTTGTGCTACAAATTCAAGACAGTTTTCCTCATATTTTAATTAGATTTTTGAGATACAGTTCATATAATAAAATTCACCATTTTAAAGAGTACATTTCAGTGTGATCACAGTGTTGTACAACCATCACCAATATCTAATTCCCATCACCCCAAAAAGTCCACTAGTTGGCACACCCAATCCTTCTCCCCCTATTCCTGTTAACAGTGCTGCGAGTCAGTTCTGACTCAGCAACCCTGTATAGGGTTTCTGAGGAGTGGCTGGTGAGCTTGAACTACTAACCTTGCGCTTCAAACCAACCTTGCAGTCCAGCGCATTAACCCATATTGCCACACCAGGTTGTTAGATAACTGCAAGGTCAGCGGTTCGAGCTCACCAGCTGCTCCTTGGAAACCCTATATAGGGTAGCTATGGGACAGAACCTTTTATCAAGAAAACCTTTTTTTTAACTTTTTACAACATTGTCTCATACCATTTTGACTAATTTCACTCAGTATTTTAATGTCCTCTAGGTTCAACCATGTTGTGAGGTGTTTCAAAGAACATTGTTCTTCACCGTTTTATAGTATTCCATTGTGTATATGTACCAAAGTTTGTTTAATCATTCCTCTGTTGATGGATATTTAGGCTGTCTCCATCTTTTTGATGTCTGTTGTAGACAGCGTATTGAAGGATCCTGTTTTCTTACCCATTCTGCTCTTTATTTCTCTTGACATTTATATTCAATCCGTTTATATTTAATCCATTTATATTCATTGTAATTATCAATAGGTTTGAATTGGTTGTTGTCGCTTTTGTGAGGTGTTTTTTTTTTTCTCCTGTGGTGTTGCTGGATTCTTTGTTCCACATAATTTTCCTGTTCATTTTGTTTGTGGGGTTTTTTTTCATTGTCATTTCTGTTGTATAAGTGTTTACTAAATCTTTCTGATGTTCCTCTTTTTTTATTTTTATGTGCAGGTGTATTATTTTTCTTTGAGGTTACCCTGTAATGTATTACTTTTTGTCCTGCTTGAAACAGTCTGTTTTATCTTGAAATCTACTTGACTTCCTTACCATTTAGAAGTTCCTTATCTGCATTATTCCCTCTTTTTGCTTTGTAGCTGACTTCATTATACATTGATCTCTTTGGTTCCCTATTTTCAGCCTTGTACAGGTTTTTTGTTTTTTTTTTTAACTTTAAATATTTTTATATCTGGATTGAGTTCTAGGTGGTGTTGTCATGTATGGTAATCTCAGGTTGTTGTCTGCTGTTATTGGTTCTCAGTTCAGAGAACACCCATTAGCATTTTTGTAAAATTGGTCTTTTTTTAATTTCCTTTAATTTCTGCTTATCAGGAAATGTTATAATTTTGCTATTGTATTTGAGGGACAGCTTTGCTGGGTATATGATTCTTGGTTGGCAATTTTTTTCTTTCATAGTTTTGCATATGTTATCCCATTGTCTTCTTGCCTACATGGTTTCTGCTGAGAAAACAGAGGTTAGTCTTAATGGTTTTCCTTTACAGATAACTTTTCATTTTTCCCAAGCTGCTCTCAGGATTCTTCCCTTGTCTTTGATTTTGGAAAGTTTGATTATGATATGTCTTAGTGATTTTCTTTTTGGATCTCTCCTGTTTGGGGTTCATCCAGCTTCTTGCATGCTTATCTTCTCATCTTTCATGATGTTAGGGAAGTTTTCTTCCAGCACCTCTTTGACAATTTTATCTGTGTTTGTCTCTTCCTGTTCTGGAATTCTAATCACCTATAAATTGTTCCTCTTCATGGTGTCCCACAAAACTCATAGGCTTTCTTCAGATTTCTTCATTCCTTTTTTTTGCTCGTTCTTCTAGCATACTAATACTGAGAGGTTTATCTTCCATTCAGTGTTCCATTGCTTCACATCTACTTCTTTGTACTTTCAGTGTATTGAGATGTTAATCTTCTGGATTTTTAATTTGCATGTTTTGTACTATTTCAAAATTTGCATTTATTTTGCCTGTTCTTGTAGTGTTTTCCTGGATTCCTTTTAAAGTTTTTATTGTGTTCTGTTTGCTTTCCATAGTCTTTCTCTTGATCCTTTGAAAGGTGCCCAATGCTCATTCTTTGGAATTCTTTTTTCAGTCAGTTCCTTTACCTTGTCTTCTTCAGAAACATTTTCTGGCTGTACAACTTGGTCATATGTTTTAGCCATTCTCTGTTGTTTCTTTGTGTGAGCTAAAATTGTCTGTTGCCTCCCAGCCATTATGAAGTTGTCGTATTTGTAACAACAAACAGGTTATTGAACCTGGAGGGGAGAAATCTCTAGGAGGCTCTTGAAATTTAAGGAAGTCACAAAGTGGTTGTGAAAGGGATGTGATAGCAGAGTTTCTGGCCCTAGATGGAGTTCCGATTGGCCTCAGTGTTATCTGTGTTCAGGGCTCTCAATCCAGAGATAGTTTGTGGGGCCCCTTGATTGAACTTATTTCAATGGCTGTTAGGACCATAGAGAAGCCGGGGGCAGGGTGACTGGTTAAATGCTGGTCTGGTGACTTTGCGGGTTTTGTAGGTCTAAAGCTAAGCCCACCTGAATCCAGGCACCAAAGTGGAACATCAAAACGGCACAGCTGTCCCCCACCTCACACTGGTGTGGCTCCAAAACACGTGGCTGTGAATTCCTGGAGGGCAGGAGCTGTGCCTGGGGGTGGATGAGAGTGGGAGCTGCTTATACTTCTTGTCACCAGGGGAGCATCAGGAAAAAGAAGAAATCACATCTTTTCTGTCACCTGCACTAATCTGCTCTGCCAGGTCTCCCTCCACTGGCCAAAGCTGCTCACAAAATGGTCGAGCCACATCTGGTCAGCCACTTTCCAGTCAATCTGCGTCTCTCACTGTCCCTGCTCTGTCTCTCTTCCAAGCAAGCACTCCATCCACCTCTCTAACCTTCTAAAATTCAGGATGCCAGAATTGTCATTTGTGTCTGTTTTGTTTCTTGTATATATTGTAAAGGGTCCATGTAGTGCATCTACCATCTTACCAGATACCTGAATTGATAATATGTTTTGATGTGTTCTCAGGCATTCACCACCTGTCTACTGGTGGATGTGATAGAGACTGGAAGTGTGTACACAAGCTCTTATGTTCCATTTCTGTAGCATAGTCCAGAGTAGGTTTGTCTGATGTTGACTGCTGATTATCATCGATCACGTGGTATAGGAGTGAGTAAGTGGTGCTTGCTCAGTGGATGGAGCTGGGAGAGGTACAGATGTGAATGGGCCATATGGGCATAATTGCTGTTTTCCCCAAAACAGCAATTAAAAATCTAATGAGGCTGAACTTCTCATGCTTCCAGACACGGAGGTAGTACACCCAGTACCTAGCACCCAGTCCCAGGCAGAGGAGACGCTGTGCAGAAAGGGGTACCTCTGGCCACTGCGTAGGTGAATGTGGGGGCTGGCCATGCTCCCAGCTCCCAGCAAGGTGCAGGGAACACGAAAGAATTGTTCTCCCCATAGCTGTCCACCTCCAGCCCATGTCTTGTGTCTCCAGGCCACTATACCAACAGCCACCTACAAAAGCTCAAGATGGCCATGCTTCACCAGACCAGTCGGCAACCCTCCCATCTGTCTCCTCTCTCACCAGTTCTGCTCAGCTTCCTTTTCCAGTTGGCACTCAATTCATCGCTTTAATTTAAGAAATTCAGGGCTCCAGGATCACAATCCGTGTCTGTTTCACTTGGTCTCCCAAGTCTTTATTGCAGAGGGTCTGCCTGTCCTGCCATCTTGCCTTAGAACTCCCAAGGCTATAATCTGAGAGCAGACTGTCACGTCTTCTAAGAAGTCACTGTTATATTTGAATGGATCTTTCAGTTTACAGCTAAATACTTAACCACTGCTCTACCAGGGTTCCTAACCCTTTATCAGTGAAAACACCCTTGTTGCCATGGAGTGGATTCTGACCCACAGTGACCCTATCCAGTTGAGTAGAACTGCTCCATGTTGCTTCCAGGACTGTAAGTTGTTACGGAAGCAGATTCCCACACCTTTCTCCCTCTGGAAACTGCCACCCTTCCCAGTTCGTGCACCAACTGTACCACCAGGGCTCCTTTTAATACTTTATGGTGGTGTTAAGTGTCATCGAGTCAATTCCTACTCAGTGACCTTGAATAGTGTTTCCAGGGAACAACTGGTGAGTTTGAACCGCCAGCCTAATAGTTAGTAGGCCACACCAGGACTCATTTAACCCTTTATGTTATTGTTAAGTGCCTTTGAATTTGTTCCCACTCATAGTGACCCTGTATAGAGTTTCCAAGGAGTAACTCGTGGGTTTTGAACCACTGATGTAGCGGCTCAAAATCCACCAAAAA